TTCCGATTCATATAGTGGCATCTGGCTGTTTTTTTTAAAGGTTATACTTTTATACTTTAAGTAGTTTTTGGAGCACATACCTTTTCACTTTTACTTGAGTAAAGAGGTCAAGTTGATATTTCAACTTTTACCAGAGTGTTTTTAAACTGCAGTATCTATACTTTTACGTAAGTAACAAATGTGTTTACTTTTTACACCAGTGAGGATGTATAATTAGGTAAAAGTTATTATTAGTTATTTCTTTTGGTGTTTTTTTTGTTTCAACAAAAAGCCTCTCATTTTGAAGCTTGGGGTTTTATATGAGGCTCTTCTTTTAAACCAGTTAAGGTACTGTCAATTTATTTTTAACCGAAATTAAAGAAATGCTACCTTTGTATGACTGTTTATCCCTCATAGTCTTTCCCGTGGTTCGGTCTTTCTCTAATTCCCAAATGTTGCTTCATTCCTCTAGATGCGATGGGTTTATCAGATGTCGCCCACGTCGAAAGCATCCAAGAGAAGTCCCAGTGTGCTCTGGAGGAATACGTGCGGAACCAGTACCCGAGCCAGCCCAACCGATTCGGACGCCTCCTCCTCCGCCTGCCCTCTCTGCGTATTGTCTCCTCGCCGGTCATCGAGCAGCTGTTTTTCGTGCGCCTGGTGGGCAAGACGCCTATTGAGACATTGCTGCGAGATATGCTGCTTTCAGGCTCCAGCTACAACTGGCCCTACATGCCCACAGTGCAGCGCGAGCGGCCACTCTCCCTTCACTACAACGAGAACGGACCCTGAGGCTGAGTAACGGGAAGAAGCTCTCACCCTTCCCTCCATCGTCCGAAGTCCACTTTTCAGCTTTCCAAGAGGAGGCGTCTTTCTCACCATTCCACCCTTTAAGACTCTTGACAGCTACCATCCCGGTTACACAACCCAACCAATCATTCTTCACTATTGATACCGTAGTTCAACAGCCTCTTGAAGTCCCTTCACTGAAAGGTGGGGTCTTGTTTTGACAGCTGGACAAGTTTATGCACAGTTCACCAGCAGGTCTGTTGGACTCAATTCAGGTGTCGGTCTCCAAACTGTGCAAACGTTTGCCTCATTCTTGGTGCAATGGCTGCCCCTACAGAACATGGCTGAATCTGAGCAGGGATTTGGCCATTCGAACTCTACAGCCAAGAGCACGAGGTCTGAGTATATATTTACTGAATTTTGAAAAAGCAAACCAGAAGCCATTAAGAGAAGACAAATGCCAAAATGTCTTGAACTTTTGCAGATGACGTTATATTGTGTTTTATTTTAGCACTGTTTATATGGAGAGAAAACTCATGATTGTGTCCATATGTGTAGTATATCATCGATTCATTGGCATCTAAGGCATCTTTGGGTTCACTGAATTAAAAAAGCTCAGGTTTCTTGTGGGGATGGGGGGGTGGGGGGTGGACAGACTAACAGACATGTCAGTATCTGGTGCTGGTTATGCTGCTCCTTTGTTGTTTTCATAGTTTACAGTCTTGGTCTTTTTGCACCAATATTGTGACGGAGAAGAAATGATTCCCTCTGCCATCGCCTCTTCATTCATGCCTTTACATCTTTTGGTAAAAGCTTCCATATTTAGTGATTTAAAGTAAGTCTTCCACTCATTAGTTTTATGATACAACCCTGAACGTAGATAAATTGGTTCATGTTTTTTGTTTCTGGATGAGAACAACAGCCCACATTTCCACAAAAATTAAAATAATGTAATTAGTCATTAAATTAAAGGCATTTTGAGGTATTAACAAGAATCTTTTAAATATAATGAAACATATATTTTCATATTTTCTCTTTAACTAGTACCTGGTAGAAATTAGAAATGGTGACAGACGAAACTTAGGCGTTTTATTTAAGATATAAAGAAACTATTGATGGAGTCGGATTCTGGTTTAAATCTTCAAGTTTCACTTA